AAATACTTAAAATTAAGATTTTAAACTTTCCTATATCAATCTATTGTGTTCTTTGGAAAGTATTAATAATGTAAACCCAAAATTGGATCAAGGCCCATCTTCTCGACTTGGATTTGGACCCGAAAAGAGGATGGACAAGGATGGGGCTGGGGTTACTAATTCTGAAGTAGAAAAAATCTATTGCACTGCCAACAGGGACCCAAAGTTTTAGGGGGAAGTCGAAATTATCCTGGGCAACCTAGCAAACAAGGAGGCTGAAGAACAGGCAAGAATTATGAAGGATGGCCGACAATAACAAATAGAAGATGAGCGAAGCATCCAGCCATTTTGGGAAGGATTGGCAAGTGACAACTAAATACTACAATCAAGAGTTGAAAGATTTGCAAGGGAGAGGAAAAGGAAGAAACAAATGGAGAGACAGATGAAAATAATTGCAAAAGCAAGGCGGTGTAGAAGGAAGAAGGGTAGAAATTAGACCACCACTTTGAAAGAAATAAGCACAGGGAGGGTGACGAACAACCTTCAACAGAAAGGGGCAAATTCAGAGATGGATCTAGGCACTAATTGTTGGAGGGAAGTAGAGGAGCTTTGGTTCGTTGGCAAGCAACTGGGTTTAGTGAGTAGCAACAACGCAGAGGACATCATTCGAAGGCTCGTAAAGATGGAAAAAAGGGATAGAGCTGAATTGGCCAACCAAAAATTGGCGGAGGCAGCTAAGAAGGGAAAGGAAGTCAGTTCTCCATGAAGATTGTCTCATTTAACATCAGGGGATTTGGTGGAAGCAGTAAAAGCAGGTGTCTGAGGGAACTTATCAGAAAAGAAAGAGTTGATATGATTTTCATATAGGAATCTAAGCTCGAGGTATGTGATGAAAGAGTACTGAAAGCTATATGGGGTGGTGATAACTTCAAATGGGTGGCGAAACCGACCCAAGGGAGATCTGGAGGTATCATTTGCATATGGTGTCTAGGTATGTTTGAAGTAAATAAAGAATTGTTAGGAAGTAGTTTCTGTGGTGTGTTTGGGTTTTGGGGTAAGGAGAAAATTCCCTGTTATTTCATAAATGTGTATGCTCCATGTGATAACCAAGGCAAACATGTTCTACGAAGAGAATTGATAGATTTAATGACAACATGTGGGGAAGGAAATTGGTGCATTGCTGGTGATTTCAATGCAGTTCGAAGTAGAGATGAAAAGAAAGGAAGATGTTTTGATGAGGGTGCAATGAGGGAGTTCAGTAACTTTATATGTGAAGCAGGGCTTGAAGATATGCCATTGATAGGAAGAAAGTTTACCTGGTACAAGGCAGATGGCACAGTAATGAGTAGACTTGATAGATTCCTGGTGTCAATAGAATTGTTGATTAATTTCCCAGAGCTCACTCAAAAAGGCCTTATGAGAGATCTTTCGGATCATAGTCCAATTATGTTAGTAAATTCTTCCAAGGACTGGGGTCCTAGACCATTCCGAAGCCTAGATTGCTGGATGGAACATAAGGAGTTCAATGCATTCATCTAGGAGAAATGGAACAACTACAGTATTAATGGATGGGGTGGGTTCAGATTAAAGGAGAAATTGAAAAGGTTGAAGAATGATCTCAAGAAGTGGAACAGGGAGGTGTTTGGACATGTTAATAAAAAAATTGAAGAGGCCTGAATTGAGATTAAGAGATTGGATGAGGAAGTGGACTCAAGGGACTTAATAGAAATTGAAATAAAAAAGAGAAAGGCTTGTTTTCAGGAAGTTTGGGAATGGAGTAGAGCTCGTGATAGTATTTTGTTTCAAAAGTCAAGACAGAAATGGCTACAAGAAGGAGATGCCAACAGTAAGTACTTCCATGGCTGCATCATTCGAAGGAGGAAACTGAACGGCTTAAATGGGATCAAAAAGAACAATGAATGGATTGAGGACGTCCCTGAGGTAAAAGGCTTCATCAAGGAGTATTTCAAGTGCAAGTTTGATGAGGAGGAATGCGATAGACCAGATATAGAATTGAAGAATCTCAACCAATTATGTATAGAGGAAAACAACAGATTGATCTCAGAATTTTCGAAAAAAGAAATCTATGAGGCGATTCAATGCTGCAATGGGAATAAAAGACCAGGTCCAGATGGTTTTAATTTTACATTCATCAAGAAAATGTGGCCAATCCTAAAAGAAGACATTGTTGCCTTCGCCAAAGAGTTTTGGGCGAATGGAAAACTTGTAAAAGGAAGTAACGCGTCCTTCATAGTACTAATTCCGAAAAAGGAGAATCCTCAAGGACTTGGAGAATTCAGGCCCATCTCCCTCATTGGGTGTAGGTACAAGATTATCTCCAAGATTTTGGCTAATAGGTTGAGCAAAGTGTTGCCATCAATCATAAATTTGAATCAATCTGCATTCATTGGAGGAAGACAAATTGTTGATGGGATTGTGATTGCAAATGAAGTGATCCATGAGGCAAAAAGACGCAAAAGATCGACCTTGATATTCAAAGCTGATTTTGAAAAAGCATATGATAGTGTTAATTGAGAATTTTTGAATAGAATGATGGAAAAGTTTGGCTTCTACAGAAATGGAGGATGTGGATTAGAGAATGTTTATCTACTGCAATTGTTTCAGTGTTAGTGAATGGCAACCCCACAGAAGAGTTTCACATGAAGAAGGGGCTACGACAAGGTGATCCTCTAGCCCCATTCTTATTTCTGCTTGTCGCTGATGCTTTGAATGGGTTAATTCTTAAAGCAAAGGAGGAGAATCTATACAAAGGTGCAGTGGTGGGTGCAGAAAAGATGGAGATTACTCACCTCTAGTTTGCAGATGACTCAATTTTCTTTTGTGAAGCATCGGAACAAAATGTCCAAACTATCAAGTGTGTGTTGCGATGCTTTGAGTTAATATCAAGCCTAAAGGTGAATTATTTCAAAAGTGCATTGTATGGAATCAGTGTGGAGACTCAAAAGGTCAATGAGTGGGCTGAAAAACTGAATTGTGTAGGAGGTGTGATGCCATTTAAGTATCTGGGAATCCCAATGAGCGCTAACCCGAGGAGGATATCAACTTGGATGCCTGTTGTTGATTGCTTAAGAAGGAAATTGTCAAGCTGGAAATGTGAATCGCTATCCTTTGGTGGAAGAATTATTCTCTTGAATGTTGTCCTATCAAGTATCCCAGTTTATTTCTTCTCAACCCTAAGAGCCCTTAAAAAGGTTATAAAACTTTTTTCTATAATTCAAAGGAGATTTTTATGGGGAGGTGTTGAAGACAATAGAACAATAGCATAGGTTAGGTGGGACCAGGTTTGTAAAAGTAGGAAAATGGGAGGGCTAGGTGTCAAGGACCTTAATAGTTTCAACTTGGCATTGCTAGGAAAATGGCGTTGGAGACTACTAGGGGAGAGGGATGCTTTATGGAATAGGGTAGTGGAAGCCAAGTATCATGTACCTAAAAAAAGAGGTTATGAGGGTGAGGTTGTGAAAGCAAGTAGTTCCGAGTGGTGGAAGGCAATATGGAGAGTAGATAGGGAGACAGTGTCCAAAGAAGGATGGATACAAATGGGTCTTGAAAAGGTCCTAGGGGAAGGCAATGACACTTCATTTTGGTTAGAGAATTGGTGTGGGGAGGTCTCCTTTAAGGAGAAATTCAACAGGCTATTTAGATTGGCTGAAAATAAGGACAAGGTAGTGAAAGAATTGGGGGAATAGAGGGAGGGACAGTGGGTGTGGAAGTGGAGATGGAGTAGGAACTTACAGGAGTGTGAACAATCTGTTTTGCAGGAACTTATTGCATTGCTAAGGGAGATTAAATTAAAACAAGGACAGCCGGACCAATGGAGATGGAAACATGATCCAAAAGGAATTTACTCTACCAAGTCAGCTTATAACATACTGAACACCAACACAAGCAACCAGAGTTTGTCGCACTTCAAATTGCTGTGGAATAACAAGGTACCATTAAAAGTTTCAGCATTTGCATGGAAAGCCCTCCATAACAAAATACCTACAGGTGACAACTTGATCAAAAGAGGCATCTCAGGAACTAGTTCAGATTTTTCATGTGGTTTTTGCAGACATAACCCGGAAACTACTAGCCATCTCTTTTTTACATGCGACACGAGCTGGAGAATTTGGCAATCGTGCTAGAGTGGTGGGACCTTCAATCCGCTTCAACAAATGTGGGATGGAGCCATTTATAGCAGCATGTGGGCATGATCTCCAAAGGTAGTTCAAAGAAAGCATGGTGCATGATTTGGTTCACTATTTTATGGTCAATCTAGCTATCGAGAAATCAATTGGTCTTTCAAAAGGAATCTGTCTCTATTGATCAGATTACAAACTTAATTAAATTGAGATCCTTTGAGTGGACTAGGGCTAAACTTGGTAGTGAACTGTTAAAGGAAAGATGGATGCAGGACCCTATGAAAGCATGCAATACTACTGAGGTTAACTAAAATAGGGCACTGAGCTAGGCTAGGTATGAGAGAATTTGAACTGTAAGGCAATATATGTATTGATGTAATCGGTTAGAGTACCCCTTGTACTCCTTAATAAAAACTTCTTTTGCTGATAAAAAAAAAAAAATCTATTGTGTTCTTCTTTGTAAAGAGATTAATATTTTCTTTTTGTCAAAATATATATTTTTAAATTTTGAGAGAATTTAAACAATGTTTGAATATTTGAAAATAAAAAATATATGTAGTTTTCTTATTAATAAAATAGAGATTCAATTTAAATATTGAGTAGAAAAGGATTTAATTTAACATGAAATTTAATTTTAAATGCCTAATATTGTAGTATATCTAAACAATATATCTTTAAATACATATAATTCAAATTCATTTTTCTTTATTTAATTTAAATAATGTATTTTAAAATACATAAATCTAAAATACATACCTTAAGCCAATGACTTAAATAATTTAGTGTTCATCTCCTTCCGTTGGAAATAAGAAGTTTCGATTTCGAGTCACATGATATACGAGTAAGAAAAGATAAGGGATAAGAAATGATTGCTTCTGTTGTGCAATCAAAAAAAAAAAAAACATACCTTACATACAAATACATATTCTCAAATGCAATCTTAATGACCTTAGGGTGATTTTTATCATGTTAG